GCTGGCTGCCCTTTTCTGCTGGCCATGTAGCATTTCTATTCATTTGTCTCCCAGGTCTGTCACTGGTGGTTCCGTTGGCCATGTAGCATTTCTATTCATTTGTCTCTCAGTTCTGTCACTGGTGGTGTCCGCCCTTTTCCGCTGTCCATGTGGCATTTCTCTTCATTTGTCTCCCAACTCTGTCATTCCGCTGGTCATGTAGCATTTCTATTCAATTCATTTGTCTCCCAGGTCTGTCACCGCTGGTGTCCGGCCTTTTCCGCTGGCCATGTAGCATTTCTTTTCATTTGTCTCCCAGGTATGTCACTGCTGTCCGCCCTGTTCCGCTGGCCATGCAGCATTTCTATTCATTTGTCTCCCAGGTCCGTCACTCTTTTCCGCTGGCTATGTATCTTACTGTTTGGGGTTCCTAATTCTTTCTTGAGATGTGTCTGCCCTTTTCCGCTGCCCATGCGGCATTTCAATTCATTTGTCTCAAAAATGATTTCTTTACTTGTGTATCCCAAGGCTCGGTGCCTGCACTGCTGGTGTCCGCCCTTTTCCGCTGCCATGCAGCATTTCTATTCATGTGTCTCCCAGGTGATTTCTGTACTTCCCCAAACAGGTTACTGTTAGGGGCTCTCAAGTGTGTCCGTCTTGTCTTCCCTTCTTGCCTCCCGTCTTGTCCTCCCTTCTTGTTGTCCGTCTTGTCTCCCTTCTGTCTCCTTTTGTCTCCCTTCTTGTTGGTCACTGTGTCCGCCTTGTCTCCCTTCATTCCTTCTTTGTCTCCGGTCTTGTCTCCCTTCTTGTGGGTCACTGTGTCCGTCTTGTTTCCCTTCTTTTGCTTTTTTCTCCCTTCTGTTTCCTTTTGTCTCCCTTCTTGTCGCCCTTCTTGTTGATCATTGTGTCCGTCTTGTCTCCCTTCTGTTATCTTTTGTATCCCTGTGTCCGCCTCTCCCTTCTTGTTGGTCATTGTGTCCGCCTTGTCTGCCTTCTGTCTGCCTTTGTCTCCGGTCTTGTCTCCCTTCTTGTTGGTCACTGTGTCCGTCTTGTCTCCCTTCTGTTTCTTTTTGTCTCCCTTCTTGTCTCCGTTCTTGTCGGTCACTGTGTCCGTCTTGTCTCCCCTCTGCTTCCTTTTGTCTCCCTTCTTGTCTCCCTTCTTGTTGGTCACTGTGTCCGTCTTATCTCCCTTCTTGTCTCCCTCTGTCTCCCTTCTTGTTTCCCTCTTGGTGGTCATTGTGTCCGTCTTGTCTCCCTTCTGTTTTCTTTTATTTCTTTTGTCTCCCTTCTTGTCTCCGTTCTTGTTTGTCATTGGTCATTGTGTGCGTCTTGTCTCCCTTCTATTTCCTTTTGTCTCCCTTCTTGTTGGGCACTGTGTCCGTCTTGTCTCCCTTCTGTTTCCTTTTGTCTCCCTTCTTGTCTTCCTTCTTGTTGGCCATTGTGTCCGTCTTGTCTCCCTTCTGTTTCCTTTTGTCTCCCTTCTTGTTGATGTCTCAAAATGTGGACTTGGGAATGCTTCGTTGTTGTCCCACCTGTTTGGGGTCTACGGTGGTGTAATTTTTAATTTACGTTCATTTGCACTTTCGGACGACCGGGGTGGAACTGGAGATTGATCCACGAGGAGCCGATCTGCAGTGTGAACCGAAAATGCCAGAATGTACCGAAGTGCACATGCCGGAATGTGACGGAACCTTGCATCTCATTTCTTTGGAGGCGAGCTCAAACACTTTGGACGTACACATTGTACAGTACATGCCGCTAGTACATGCCATGCCAACAAAACACGTGTGACGACATCGTCGCTGTCGGCGGAACTGCTTGATCAACTCCTGTTTGTTCCTCACCAAAGCCTTCTTTTCAGCGGGTGCAGGCTTCTGGGAACCCAGGCGCTGCTAAGACCGGCCTCAGGGAGGAAGGAACATGGCTCCACTGGTTCTTTGTGACGCAAGGTCTCTGTTTTTTTAAACTGAAAGATAGATGGGATGAACGTGGACGTGTGACATGTGCTGAGGAAAAATCGGAAAGATCAACCCTGGTGGCTCAATACTTTGTGGCTCTCCTGTCCGGCCATTCCACATAGACATATTTAAAATTTACTGTATTGATATTTGTTGCATGACCTTAATCAATGATTCGTGTCAGCATTTTGGAGGACCCAGCCCACCACGACAGCCGGAAGCTGCAACACATTCACCCTATTGATCGTCGGATGTCATGGTTTTCTTATGAATTGACCCATCCAACATCAGTTGGATCTTGACAACACCGAGCTGTGCTGGTATGCCAACATACTCGAATCTTGGCTCTGGCCCTTTGTCAGACCCGACCAGCGTCTTTCACATCAGCCGAGTGCTGGACTGGCATGCCCACCACAAACCTGAGTGTGAGTGTCCGTCAACAAGCCGCTACTAGGAGCAAGGACGCTACTAGGGGCTCCTGGCATCGCTACTAGTAACAAGAAGCTACTAGGGGCTCCTGGCCTTACTACTAGGAGCAAGGACGCTACTAGTTGAAACGCCAAAGAGTTGATGGTGTGCGATGCCATGGTGCGACTGCCAGTTTGTTTCTAAGAGCGATTAGCTCTACCTATCAACGTCCTTTTAACAAAAACATAGCCACAAAGGTGCGTCATACCTCAAGCTGTTCTTCCAACTTCCATCGCCGTATGTCACCCGTTCTAGTGGAACGTGAATCACACCGCTATGTCACCGCGGTATGAAAAAAAGGATTGCCTAGCATGTCCCCAAGCGTGAGCATGCGGTTCGTGAAATCATCAAATGGTCGGAAGGCGGAGCTTTCAAAGCGCTGCTGAGTGGCGGCTGGAAGAAGTTGCGGCATAAATGGTCACCGCCACCGATATCATTAGCCTTAGCAAGCAGGTGTTCTGCATAGATCAGGTAATTATAAGTGGGGGGGCCACTGAGCAGCAGCAACACGTCCCTCTCATCATAAATCTGAAGCACACATATAAACACATTCCCATCAATTGGTCACGTACCTGTCAAACGCATCCAATTGTTCTGACCAGGTTCAACCACAAGTTTGGCATAGGACAATCAGACCAGCAAGTAGGATGAAGCAGGTCTATTCATTTTGTTTGGACGCCCACCATGTCAACTGTGTATGCTCCAACTGTATCGGCGGGATGTTTCTCCTGATGTCTGGCAGCTTGAATCGACTGGATAGCCGGTTCTTTTTTAATGGTTTGCACAAGGGCATTACTACTAGTAGCAAATAGCTACTAGTAGTAGTAGCTTCTTGCTACTAGTAGCGCTGCACTTGTTACTAGTAGCGCTGCACTCCAGCTCTGGGAGGCCGGACATTAGCGCTGCAAAGCCGACCGAACTCACAGCGCCTCTTGTTGTGGCGATTGCTCTCTCACCCTCTTCGGTGACATCTGGACACTCCACCGGTGCACCGTCAGGGTCCGGACCAGGTATATACTTTGTTTTGTTGAATTGGGATGGAGTTGGAATCTTGGAATTCATCTGTATGGTTCTAGGCGATTTTATTGTCCTTGTTCTTCCCTATTTTGCTCCGGCCAGGTCACGTGGTGTCTGCTCCCTGATACTTGGTGTTCGTTGCCCCTTGGATGATTTCAGGTGGGCCCATGTGGGCCCATCATCCACCAATCCGTCACTCGACCTGTTCAAACGCAAAGCTTTTCAACGTCTCGAAACGATCAAAGGGATGGCCTCGACCTGCCATGCAGCAAGACAAGGCTGCCTGGGACTGGGACCCTAGTGCCCGCTAAAGCTTGAAACAGTAAAGGTGAGCAAGGCATTCACAATCATGATGGATCGGCAGTAGTAGCTGAATCTAATTGTTTTACGTTGTTTTAAGATACAAACAACAGTTAGTTACTTAGTTAATGGAATCTGATATCTCCATCTCATTGCCCCCCAGCCACTTCCTGAACGCAACCATCTACACATTTGCTGGCTTGAAGGTGCGACTTCTTGCTCCGAATTGGCCAAATGATACAGTTCAACAGGTCACAACACGGGGAGCGTGCACTCAATGGGTCCACATTTGCGCAGTTGGCAATGAGAAGTTCCGCGCTTCAACATGGATGCTTGGGAGGTCCACATGGCTTGGCTTTGAGTTTTTCAATTGGCCGCATAAATGTGTGTAATTACTTTAATCAGGAGACCCCCCAACCCAGGGGGACGGGTCTATTTTCCTTCTTCCAGGGGGTCTTTGGGAGGTCTTCCTACTTTAATATATGTACACTCCCATATAAATTATTGATCCTGAAGAGGATCAATGTGTAAAATACGCACACATGAGCTTGTAATTTAAGGCCGTGCTTAGTGCTTGGGTTGCTGTTTGATATATATATATTCTGGGTTGACGATGATAGATCAACATCAAAAAACTGCATGATGTTCCAAGCGGATTGCATGCACACATCACACGTCCATATCCATAGACAAGCGATCAAGTGCTCAATCATGATGATGATGATGATGATGATGATGATGATGATGATGATGTCATATGTACTCTTCATGGCCCTACCAGTAGCCCTACCAATCGCACGGTAACGATCAAAATGTCACTGGAGCCCCCGGCTGCAGGACAAAGGAGGCCAAGGGCCTTAGCACATCACTGGGAGGGAGCTGTTCGGCAAAAGGGAGGGATGGTCCGTTCCAGTCAGAATCTTGGCTGCAGCAGGGAGAGGTTTCAAAGCATTATATATATATATATGTATTATCTGTATATACTGTATATATATATATATATTAGTGCTTTCAATGGTCCACAATGTAGCTCATCCCCTCAACTGCAGGGGAGACCATACCAGCCCTCTCTATATACATTTTATATTGATAGCAGGTTGAGAAAAAGAGTCTAGCATTGCCTGCATGAGTGCAACAAGTCAGGACGAACCAAAAACCATTGAGAACTACCAATTCTGTAGATTATTCGAGAGACGTCGTGAGTCATGGGCTGGGAATTGATGCCCTAAATCTCGCCAGTTGTGTTGTATTGGCAGCTGCCGCAAGCGACAGCGACGGCAATGGTTACTTCCTTAGTCAGTGGGCCAGTGGGTTTTCTTTTTCACGGAAAGTTAGCCGGCTAACCCGCAATGCTTGTCCGGACACAGAATCGGGTTCTGGAGCTGTCCAAGCGCAGAGGTTCTGCAAATCACACCGAACTTCTGACACAACAATGAATTGTGTTCTTCATAGTTTCGCTAGTCCTGATGTAATCACCCAGCACGACTGGCGCTGCAAACACAGTGGCTGTCTTGAATTGCCTGAAACTCCAGGCATCAAAAGTAGCCATGCCGTACACAACATGGCTTCAAATAGTGTTTGCACCCACATTTCCGACTAAGTACCCGTTGTCCAGTTTGGTGGACTATGGCCAGGCATTCATGCCATGGTACCGGTCGAAACCCTGGATGGAGATCTGCGCGGCCCTCCAAAATCCACGAGTCAGCCTGGGCGGAAGGCAGGAGCTCAAAACGTCCTGGAAGGATCTGGAAGGCCCCAAAGACTGTCATGAGAACAGCGTACACTGCCTACACACAAAGAAGCTGGCCAAACCGAAAGAGAAGCGCTATCTTTCTTCTCAGCGATTTCTTGCGCTTGTGCCTAGTTTTTGTGCATGATTGCATTACCGTTTCTAAGAAGGCTGGATATGGCTGGATGGCAGTAGCTCACCAAAGAAGGTGAGAGCTCTTGTAAGGTTCGTGCTTTTGTCCAAAGCGATATATATATATATAGAAAAAAAATATAGTTATATATAATATACACTGACATGAAAAAGGATTGTCACATAGAAGGAAGCGGAACAGATCTCCAGACATGGATGGATGACTACAATGGTGCGGTCAATCAAGCTGGTAGGCCAAGCTGCCTCCAAGCTGAAACTTCCCCAAAAACGAACTCCACGACGTTTGATGACGTTTGGACAAGACCTACCCGCCCTCTTGGCCCTCCGGCCCACAAGGAGGCCACATGCTGAGAGCTCTGGAAGGCTTTGTCAAAGGACCGCCTGTGGGAGCTTCGCTGGTCGAGTCAGCAACAAGTCCATACCTTCCCCCGAAAACAGGCAACAAGGATTAGCACTCCAGATGTTTCCTTATGCTGCAAATGCTGCTGGTCTGTTTGGGCATTTGCCACATTTGCCTCTTTCTGGAACAGGATGATCATATTCCATAGAAGCCCACGGTGGTAGCAGGCCAAGTACAGCCCAGTTTCACAGTTTACATCTCACTGCAGGCTGAGGCTGGGCTCCCAGCTGCAGGTGGGGTGCCGAGGCTTCTCTCTGCTGCCCCAGCAACAACCAAACCTCATGCGACGACCCCGTGGCCACTCTAGCCCTCTCACTCAAGTGAATCTTTTCCGTGCCTAAGAAGAGTTGGTAAACAACCCGGTGCTAAAGCAACTTTAATCTTTAAATGCTTGCTAGTATTTGAGTCATTGATATGCAATTTTGAGGAGCCCCCCTCACTTGCAGGCCTGGCTGGTGGTTCCTGTCGTGTGTTTTGGTTTTCAGATATGGCAAGGCCAATAACCATGGCAAAGAGTCGCCAATGAATCAAACATAAAGCTGCTTGGTTTTCCCATCTGTGGGACATGGGAGTCTTTTTCGTGAGAACCCTTTTTTTAGGCCAAGCTCAGCATCCCCAAGTCCATCCCAAGTCAACGCCCCTACTGCCAGCCCTATCACCAGCCTTTGGGTCTTTAGTTTTGGACACCCTCGACCACTCTAAACGGTGTTCCTCTTTGACTCTTTGGCCGGCTTTGTTCCCATCTTTGAGGGATGTCAGAGCCAAGAGATTTCTAGGCTTCACCAAGGAGCAGCCAGAATGATCGACGGCAAGTGACACCTTAGCGTTGGAGAAGAGCAAGCAGTGGATCTGACGTCATAGTCCATAGGTTGGATCAGCTCTTTCAAGTCGGAGTGTGCCAACTTTGCCAAGTGGGCAAGTGCTATTTTAGCTCCACACAGCAAGTAGGGCCCCAGGAGTACAGACGCCAAGCCAGGTGCCTGCTATGAAGAACTCATTGATTCTGGTCAACTCAATGAACAAACATGTCTGAGTTAAGCTCCTCCCAACACAACTGATTGTGGACTCCGTTGCTGCGAACCATTCAGAATTCAGATCGTCAAAAAGCCTCTCTGTATCATACACAAACATGATCCACTAGATCCTCATTGCCAAGGTTCAGTACAGCTAATAAAGTAGATTTGACCCCACATTCAACTACAGGGAAGACACCTTCATTCACAACTGATCCCCAAATATAAGGGTCCCATGGACAAACAAAGGCCAGTCTCCTTTGCAGCATGTTCGGAAAGGGCCACTGCGGCCACTTCCATGTTTTCTTTTGCAGCGTAGAACCGAGTCAAATCAGTTGCTCTTCCCAACCTTGGGATCAGCATTGTATGCCTCAAAAGGACAGCAAATTGAACATGAGCTGAGAGTCAAGCCTTGCTCTGCATTTAGTTGCCCAAATGAGACCAAGCTCTGAGCTTCACCCACACCATCTTAATTTTGCCTGTTTGATTTTTGTTTGACCCCGACCCCAACACAGACTGGGTTCAGTAATATCAAAAGAGAAATGCGGGAATGGCAAGCCGGATCTAATGCCAGTTGATGCTTTGTGTGCTTTGTGTGCCTACATGTCTAAAGACTAGGCTCTGCGTGTTTGTCTTGGATGTGGGATGCCCCCCTCAGACCTAGCTCTCGAGCCAATAGCCGTGAGTGGGTGCCCCTGCACTTGCAATGGCCAGCAAAAGCACACAGCCTGAGACACAGGTCAGGGCATCAGGTTGGATGGGGATTAATTAGTCCCTGAGAGATCTGCATGGTTTACCTCTGCATCCAACAGTGAACTATTGACTATCGATCAAGTCGTCAGCCAAGTGTTGTCAAAATCTCTGCCAGAACATTATCTTTTAAAGGTTTTTCAGGCAAAAACATTGGCCTACTAGTAACAAGTGCCTTACTAGTAGTAACAAGAAGCTACTAGTAACAAGTGCATCGCTACTAGTAGTAGTTAATTTAATTCCCACGTATCTTGAGCAGGCTCCCAACATCAAAGCCCGCCTGCCGGTTGAATAGAGGCTAAAAGCATCAAAGCTACGAAGACAAGGATAGCTTGCCGCCATGCTCCTTTTGGGAACGGTATCCTATGGTGATTGATGTGGTGACAGGGGATTGATTTTCGATGGCTGTAGCAAGCCTGAAGACTGCAGTTGCTGATGCTCCGAGCTTGCCGAGGTTGCTACGTTAGGTTATATATTGAGCAATAGACATCCTGGAACATTAGCCGATCATTTTTTCTGCAAAGCAGGCAGAAAAATACCCCGGCATGCTCCATCATCAACCTCTTTTCTCCCATTGAATCATCCAATCCCACATGTCATTTCTACTTGGGGCTCTCTACCAATGAGCCAGGCAAAGTACAACCAAGGGATGCAGTAGCTTCCTAATCGTTTCCGAGTCCTTGGCGAGGCTGGCTCCCCCAGCGCCGACCTCGTTCCGGTTCTTTCATGTGGCGGACATCCCAGCATGTGGCACACCTGCCTAATCACGTCTAAAAGTGAAAGACTAAAATCTCTGCGTGAACTTATGGTAATGGAATAAACATTGGCATTGCTGATATGGCTCATTTGCTCCGTATTGAACAACTTTATGGACCCTCCATCCGGAATTGGGATAGGGCCAAGATTTTGAGGGCCAACTGGATGGATGGACTCGCTGGACAATGATGGATCCCTGACATGATTTGGAAGTATTTTGTTGAAGCTACTTACTACTGAGGGTATATAATATGGTATAATATGTATTTGCTGATTTTTTCAAGAGTGCAAGTACTCGGTACTGGAAGCCTTCCGCGCAAATTGAGGACCATCTCATTGATATATTATGTATATATATATTATATCATACCAATGGACGAACCTTGGGGAAGTAATAACACAGGGATTCCTTTACAATCCTTTACATATCTTTACAAGTAACATGACTTAACACTCCCCTGATTCCAGACAGTTTCGCCCAGCGGCACCGCGAGACGACCTTTGCGCATCGTCTGGACCTAAGACTCTGAAGGCTGGAGCTACGAAGAAGTCCATTTCCGGCCGATGAAGTGGGTCAAGTATGGTGAAACAAGAACGCTACTAGGAACAAGTGCCTTACTAGTAGTAACAAGGACGCTACTAGGAGCAAAGGGCATCGCTACTAGGAACAAGAACGCTACTAGGGGCTCCTGGCCATACTACTAGGAGCAAAGACGCTAAGTATGGTGAAGTCGATTCACCAGGAAACAAGAAACCGTCTTTGATCATGCGGTTTGGCACCGTGCCACTGAGATCGAACCCATGACCACGAGCTCCCAACGTCATAGAATTGTCACAATTATACTGCGCTATCAATCCAAGTGGTGACCACCCCTGATCTTTTGAGGATTCTTTGATCCCTGCGCAGTTTCAGCCCACGCAGTTGAAAACAACTCGGAGACCACGCAGTAAGGCCAGCCCCACTGCCAGAAAGCTGTTGAAGACCTCATGAACATGAGCTGGGTGTTCACATGTTTCTCCACCCGACACAAGGGCAATCGGACCAGTTAAAAGTCCTTGAGTCCATATCTGGATCTCACATACAATGCAGCATCACCGTGATTAAATGCAGAACTTCTGGCCTGGAATTTTCAAGCAACATAGCGAGACTATGCGAGACTGGTGAGGCACGTAAACCGGAGACTTTACCAAAACGCTTGAAAGCCATACTGCCAATATAACGGCTGCCACGTCTGCCAAGCATCCGCACCCGAAGCGAGGGCAGCATTTCAGATGGGCCCTGGCATGAAAGAGTGATGGTGTTATGCTAGTAGCGATGCCAGGAGCCCCTAGTAGCGTCCTTGCTCCTAGTAGTAAGGCCAGGAGCCCCTAGTAGCTTCTTGCTACTACCAATTTGTTCGGATGGGAAAAACGCTTTGTGATACTACGATGCAAGACATCGTTTAGAATCTGGCTACAACCTCAGGCAGCCTAGCGGAGATGACAGCTGTCTCATTGGCTTGGTGCTACATCTACAGTCTTCTTGCTCCGGCACATGCACGTCAATCTTGCTTCTCCCCACTTCACACACAACTCCAGAAGGCCCCAAAGAATCCCCAATGAATATTAAGAGTGCTGTGGTGCTACTGTGACGACCTCGAAGATAGGCTCCAAAAGCAGAGTAGTGATGAGCCAGGCTGCCAGGAAGGTCCACTGGGCCCACCTGGATGACTTTGAAACTCCCTCAACACAATCCTTTACATCTCCAAGTGTCTGATTTGGTGCAAAACCACATCAACATCAACATCATTATACAAATGATTACAAGATATTACAAGCATACAAGTTCCACAAACCCCAACTTCAACTAATTGTCATTATGCAGGTCTCTGTGGCACCAGTTGGACTCCAGAACCACCCTTATTCACCCGTCTTCTGCAAGGCATACCCATGTGCCCCACAGATCAAATTGGAGTGTTTGTCAGTTTTGTAAAGAGAGCATGGTAGCAGGGCGCTGCGATCGTACTTTTGCTTGGGAAGCGGCTCCATTCTATGAGCTATTGATCGAACTTCTATCAAAAAAACTCCATCAAAGGCAACTGATTGCCCTTCGTGTGTTCCACTCAGGGCTCAGCAGGAAAAGCTGATGAGTTCATGCCTATCTACAGCAAAACAGAATAAGGATCGACAAACGTCAGGATGTTTTCTGCATCTTCCTCAAATAAGGGAACAAGCACATTAGTCATTAGGCGTGGACAACTGTGGCCCACTTGACAACAAGTTCTTCTTCATTCTCCGCAAAAAACACCTGACAGTTGCCGGCAGCATCGACTGAGGAGTGTCCATTGGACAGTCCAAAGGTGGCGGTGTTTGTTGGAAATCCATCGAAGCTTGGCCCAAAAATGCTGAGCTTCGACCACGATCTGAGGGCTTGGACTCTGATTGGACAATCCAACCTTTGGCTGGAATAGGTCCACCAGGTTTAGGATGGTTTAGGACGTCACAGACTTAGGGATGCAAGTTTGCCATCTCAGTGGCATTGGTCAAGTGTCAACCCATCGACCTGCCAAGCAGCCCTGATTCTGTGGTTCAGCCCGGTTCGGACAGGCTCAGGCCCAACGACCCGAAGAGCTTAGAAGATTCGAAGGCGAAGAGCAGCAAATGCCAGGACCTTGCGCTTGATACTACTTTCCTACTAGCGATGGCCTCCAACCTACTAGTAATGGCCTCCAACCTAATAGCGATGGCATCAACATGTTGTTTTTTCCAAGACTCTCCACAGGACCCCGCATTCTATCACATTCCTACATCAACCGATTACCTTTGAGGATGCCTCATAGGGGTCAACCCTTGCGTCGACATTTCTTCCAAAGGCTTCATTTATCAGCTGCCTTCCCTCAACAAAACATGTTATTATATAAGCAAGGACGCTACTAGGAACAAGGTAGCAATGTCAATATGCACGATGCACACTCGGAGGCATGCTGCTGTTTGCTGACAGGACCGGACCCTGCGACCGTCGAATCCTCCATCATCCACTCCGCCAATCGTCCATAGTCTTGGCCCCTAGTAGCGTCCTTGTTCCTAGTAGCGATGCCAGGAGCCCCTAGTAGCGTCCTTGTTCCTAGTAGTAAGGCCAGGAGCCCCTAGTAGCGCCCTTGCTCCTAGCCGCAAGTGGGGTAAGCCAATCGTCCATAGTCTTAGCTTCACTGCTCATGGTCTTCGCATCCTCCATCATGGTCACCGCTTTGGTGGTGCCCGAGTCGACGACACTGCCCTTTGTGGTCGACCGAAACGAGGTCTCCTGAACGAGGTGTGGGCAAACAGTGGAAGACCGCGGGACTTTGAAGAAGTGCTCGAGACGAACTCTATTTGAGAGGCGAAGGACTTTGTGGCAATGTTCCAACAACCTTCTGAAACCTGGGGAGCATTTGATTCATTCCCAACTTCTTTTCCCTAAACTGGAGATAACATGAGACAACTGGAGCAACTTGGCAGGAAACAATGCAAATCCAAGACGCTCTAGAAGGCTTCTCAACTGCACTAGTGGTGGTGCTCCCACCCTTTGCAGTCGTGACAAGGGCAAAGGACGCACTGGAGCTTGATGTGCTTCTGTCAGCACCGCCAATGTCTTGCGTCGTCGATGTTTCATTAGCAGAGTGAACTGTTGTGCTACTCGGTTGCGCCTCTGTTTGCGTGTGTTTTGCTTCTGTCATGGTGGATGATCCCGCAGTTGTGGTGGTTGTTGCTGCAGTTTCTGTTGTTGTGGTTGCTGCTGTGGTCGTTGTTGCTGCTGCCGTTGTTTGTGAGATGGTTGTTTGCGTTGCTGTCGTTGCTTTTGTTTCTCTGGTTGTTTCTGTCACTGTAATTGACGCACCTGCTGCTGTTGTTGTTGTTGCAGTGGTAGGGACAGTCCCAGTAGTGGTAGGGGTGACTGCAGTTGTTGTTGTCATTGTTGTGGTGGTGGCGGCTGTTGTTGTTGCGGTGGTGGTGGTGCTGGTGCTGGTGCTGGCGGCGGTCGTGGTCGTGGTCGTGGTCGTGGTCGTGGTCGTGGTCGTGGTCGTGGTCGTGGTCGTGGTCGTGGTCGTGGTCGTGGTCGTGGTCGTGGTCGTGGTCGTGGTCGTGGTCGTGGTCGTGGTGGTGGTGGTGGTGGTGGTGCTTTCTGCCGAATAGTAAATCTCATTGGAACTTAAAGCTGGCAGTTCCTGCACGTTAGTGCCCATATTCGAGCCGGCTGCATCAAAGCACGGACAGAAACGATCATAGGTGACGGATCCAGCTTTGGTGGCGATACTGGTACCACTGCCGCCATCATCATCGCAGTCGGCGTACAAGGTACGGCACACTGAAACACTGACCAATCCACCACTCTGACTTGGCCCATGGCAGCCTACAGTGAATGGTGCTTGGTCTTGAACATGGTAGTGATACACTGGCGTTGCCGAATCAGGCGTGGGACCAATGTGAGCTCCACAAGCATCCAACAAGGGAAGCCACTTGAGATCAAAGTCCTCCCATTTGCCGTAGATGCCATGAGAGGCCACTGACCCAACCTTGGTGGAGTGACCACCTGATTCGGAGTACAAGCAGCTGAAGCTCCGGTGGAAGTGGTAATCGCCCGTGTGGCCACCACAAGGACCAACCACACCGTAGTAGGTGCTACCTTCAAAACGAGGGAATTCAATACCACATGCCAGTGCCACTTTCTTCTCAGCGATGCCAATGTCCGTCCCACCTTCTGTGTCATAGACCAAAGAAGGAGTGGAGCAGCCCCAATTTTGAATAATGCCGTCCTGGCCAATTAGAAATTTCTGAAATACACCTCAACTCTACATCAGAGTCCTTGCTAGTTGCACACCAAAGGCGAAATTCTTCAAGGTTTTGAATATATATATATATATATATACTGACTATATGCATATATATATATATAGCCCGAAGACTTCTCTTGCCCACGAACAAAAAACACAACACGTGATTTGTTTGAGTTCTTTTGCAAGTTGTCCTTTAAGACTTGGACGTGGAGCCCTCGTTACCTGACTAGTTTGACCCATGTTGCACATCTGTCCCCACTCTGCAACCCCACACCGATTGACCAATTATGACCAATTATGAGTGCAAGGGGTACATCTCTTCATTCATTGGTTGCACTTCCGGCCCTTTCCTTTGAAGGGAAGGGATCTGGCGGTGAATACTCAGCTTCCCAAACCGAACAGGGTGCTCTTTTGATATCCTCAGACTTTCCATTGCTGTCCTGCTGAGAGGTAAAGCCTGCTTCAAAGGGGCCATAAATGTGTGCGCCACTGGCGATGCTCTCGCCTGCGAAAGAAAACCTCTGTCCATCTGCTTTCTGGTCTGCTTTATTTAGGAACTTAGTCAATCACTGCTCTCTTCTCTTCCTAATTGAAAGCTAGAACCTACTCGGGATGGCCTCCACCATACGATGGTCTCCAACCTACTAGCGATGGCCTCCAACCTACTAGCGATGGTCTCCAACCTTTATAGCGATGGCGTCCACCCTAATAGCAATTGTACACCTGATTCAATATATCATGTCAAACATCCCTCCTACCCAACTGTAGGAATTCCATGGAATTCCATAAATCCTTTGGACTAACATGGCATAGCCCCGAGGAAGCCCCAGCTGCTTTGCACCTGCTGCTAGGAGCTCGTGCGCATAGGTCTCGATCCCACTGACGGTGGTGCAGCCCACATCGCCCAACAGTGGCGCAGCACAGGGTGGGGAGTTGCAGGACGGGTTTTGGCAGCTCTGGGTGCTGCCAGTGCCTTGGGGACGGGAAGGTTTCAAGACTGACACTTGGAGTCTTTGAATACATGGTACGCCTGGTCTTGTTTTGACCATCCTGAGTTTATGGAGCTTGTAGTGAAGTTCTCAAGTGATTTCTCAAACCCACGGCACCCAAGCACTCTGTACCCTGCCTCCGCCCCCACTTGGTGGGCCAGGTCCGCCGCAGCCGCTGGGCGGAGGACCGATGCCAGGACCCCAACTGACTCCGTGGCCGGAGCAATCCTGGCCGAAGGCAAAGGTGCAAGTACCCACCGCCAGGCTCCAAAGACGCCACATGAGCAAAGAGATCCCACGAGCCGAAAACGGCTGCAGGGCGCACTTGGTTGAGTCCGAGATAGTCTGAGTAATATTGAGTAATTAGGTCTCTTGGAAGGTTGCTTTTGAACTGCAGCTTGATCATTCTCGGAATTGGGTTTGTCGACATAGCTAACCACCATGTGTGTGCTTCGTTGTCTTTCCAACATTTCCTGTCTTCTCTAAGGATTCGCTGATTAGCTTTCTTGTGCGCAGTTGGAGCACGCGCTATAGATGGCCATGCGTTTTTGTGACACTTCGTAACATTTTTGTGACACGTGCGTTTGTGGTGATGAATTCTTCATGTGACGAGAACAAATCGGTGTGTGGCCCTTGGAGTCACAGGGAGCCTTTTGGCCTTTTTATGGCAGTCCAACGAAGAGGCTGTTATGAATTCCAGACGCGGAATCTCCAGTGACAAGGCTGGTTAGGTGTATATAATAGGCATAGGTGTGCAAACATGCACTTGTCAGCTAGTTCACTGCAGTCACGCACGTTAACTGTTCCTAATTTTTTTCCCTGGTTTACTTAGGCACTTTTTTCACTCAGGCCTCTTTAGGCCAAGTGTCATTCAGACCAAGCGAACCATATCTCGAGTCTTACAGGCCATTTTGGAGGACGTATAGGCCAATTGTTGAATACAGCCAAACTGTGTCCGCGAGAGGCTCACGACCATGCTAGAATAAAAAACGCTGCACTGCAAAAACTTTACTGAAGCGTTGAAAAGGTGCACAAGGTGGGATGGAGACGGATGGTGAACTCTTCAGCCGTAATTCTAGAGGTGTTCGGAAGCTCTTGGTTTCTCCCCTGTGTGGAGTCGGAGTCGTGTTCACACGCAACACTAACAACAAACAAAGGTCATTGGGGCAGGTTAAAAAGAACCCCTGGAACCGCAGTTCTAGGAGCAAGGACGCTACGAACGTAGCTCCTGGCATTACTACTATAGTAACAAGAAGCTACTAAGGAACAAAGGGCATCGCTACGAACGGAGCAAGGATACTAGTTAACCTTCTCCCCAGTCAGGGGCTGCATTCACGAAGCACCATGGTCCTCTCCCCAGTGGCCACCAAAAACACACAGCGCCATCTATGGCGTGTTCCAACAATATTGTTTGCCCCCCTTGCCGCCTGGCACCGACGAGGTCTGCAGCCTGGGGGATATGCTCTCGGTTTGTTGAACACATCACTCTTTCACTTCCATGACCACTGGAGAGATGATACGCTGTTCGTGGCTTCCAAAACACCACCTAAATCTGGAGAGTACGGGAGTCTCTCCATGCACCCTCAAATTGAATACGGCAGGACTGACTTAAGCCTTACTACAAGTTAATTAGCTGATGTGTGAATGCCTGACTCCTAATTGTGCACACGCAAGGCAAGATCCAGGTCTGAAGATTCTACATACGTTAAGGAAAGCACTATTCGAGTTGTTCAGAGCTTTTTGCCAGCGCTCAACGTCTAAAGTTGATCGGTTCTAGGGACGCGGACACTCAGGCAAGAACATGCCCCGAGCCAGGCATGGAATCTCTGAGTACCTTGGGCTAGAGATGGTCCGAAGCTTTTGCAGTATAGAAATATGTAGTAGACATAACAAATGTTATATATCCCTAGATGACAAATGGATTCACCTCCAACATGGCTGGCGGCTAGCTAAACATGGTTTATGCTTGGAACCATGACAACTAAGGGAGGATATAATTAGTACTACACATGTTGTGCCAAATAGCTACCAGAAAAGAGACAAACACGTCCAAAGTTGTTGCTTATCGAGTCCTTCTGCCTTGTGAAAAGCGATTCAACACCCACGTCTCATCTCCTCAAAACTGCTGGGGTCACGCATCCACTCCGCCAGCATGGAGTAGGCATTGCTCTGCACCTAGTGCAACGAAGGATGGAGACATTGAGTCCTGCTTTTGAGGCTAGATTCTCAACACGGGCAACAACCTCTGAAGCAGCAACTGCACCAAAGAAGTGGAATCCCACGCATGACGCACGAGGCGGCAAAGGTGGAGTGGTTTGAGATGATGCATGCACCTTTCAGTTCAACTCATTGGTCTGCACCTCTATGGTCACTGTAAGGCTCGGGTGGCCGATTACCTGAATATGCAGCAAACTCTGATTTAGTTTCAAGTTTTGAGAGTTTCTCAAGGTCACACGGTCATTGCAAACCTTTGGCAGATTCATAGCAACAAAACACAACTAGAATTTTGAGTAGACATTCTACAGGCAAACTGCAAAACAACCTTACAATGCTCGTGCTCCACTCCTTCGTCTTGCATGATGCTGCATGCCAGCAACAAACAATCATGTCGAAGCTTAGGGTTTGTGACATGAAACCATCGTGTACTTGCCGTCAAGTTGCAAAGATGGAAAAGTCCTGAGCGGTGGATGATGGAGCATCATCAGTCAAACAGAAGTAAACGATTCTATAAAGGGTTGTCACTGCTTAATTCTTGGTCGGCATCGGTTGGAATCTCGATTCTAAGAATACATCAACAAAAAATATGTCACAGCCCCGGTAATGTGCAACCCCATGCCCACCATCCTCCTCAGTTCCAAAAACTCTAGATGTTGGGTTGTAAACAATCCTCAAACAATTGGCTGCGAATCGTTGAGGTCCCAGGTCGTCCAAGCCGTTCATTGTTGCCCAGCACGCCTCTGAAAGCTCCGTACTGCGGGGCGCGAAGACCTCTCTGGCATCGCGCGACTCTGAAGCCCACTGGGAAGGCGGCTCCGACCTGGGTGTGCGTTGCCCGGCATCGGACTCGGATTTCAGGGAAAGAGACAGTTTCACAGCATCAAGCATGGTCTACGTGCTGGCTCTGACATGAGTGTCGACTCTAAAAATGCCCGAGAGGTTTCGATTTGCTCTATGATCTAGTTTCCCAGGCCTTTGCTCAAATAGAGACACACACACACACACAGACAGCAAAACAGGTGGACCTCACTGTGCTGTTTTGCATCAGTTCATGTAATGCTCTGGACACGATGTTCATCTCCAACCAATCGATCAAAGCCGTGATTGCAAAAAACTGTGTCAACGTTGTCAGATTGATTCAGTTCAATGATAGATAGTCTATGATAGTCTATAGCATTCGATAGTGTATTGTGACTGAAGCTCATTTTTCAATTTGTCTACTGTGATGACTCTTGCATTCCCACCTGTAGCTTTTGGGCAGCCCGGTTCTACCCTTGGTGCCCTGACTGATCCACCTCCAAGCGTAGGGCGGCCACCCTGCACCATCCAAACATGCTCTTTTTGAAAATCACTTGGGAACAAAGAACGGTCTATCCAGTTTCTTTTTGCAATGCCATACATTGCCACAAGGTCCTGGAGATTCGGGGAGTGGAAAGAAACTTTGAAGTGGTGTAAGTGTAATCAAACCAGCAGCTACCCTACTAAGCAAGGCTAACGATTCCCCCAGCAGCTCGGTATCTTACCTGACTTCTGGGTGCGCCATTGTCAGGACCAAAGGAGGCTGCCTTGGCAGAGCCACAAGTCATCCATAGTCATCCCCTTGGGGTAGAGAGCTGAGGATTAAAGATGTCACAGTGTGGAACTCTTCGCTGTAGGATGCGAAACTCCGAAACCGGCAACAACCACAGCCAAATATGGCGAGTCCAAACTCTAGGACCTTGGTTGAATTATGAACAAACTGACTGCCAGGCTGCCATTTTCATGATCTGTTCTGGACCCTTTTTCTTGACTCTCTGTTCAGGCATCCCCACCAACCAAATGTGGCTTCTGAAGGGGAGACCTGACAACACACCGGCGTGAAGAGATGGCCAACGATTGCTGATGTCATCGTACGTTGTCAGGAACGTGATCCAGAAACACCTAATTAATTTGCTTGTTTCTAGTAGCGTGGCACTTGTTACTACTAGCAAACATTGTTACTACTAGTAAGGCACCTGTTACTACTAGTAAGGCACTTGTTTCTAATAGCTTCTTGTGTCTCTTCCCACGGTTTCGAATCTGAAGTTGTGGCCTCATCGCCCGCCTTCCCCCTCTAAGAAGAAGGATGCGGTCAAAGCCAGAAAACCTAAGCCTTGAAAGCCTTGAAAGCCTTGACAGTTTTGCATCTTTAGACAGAATCTTGCGAAATGTGGAACTGCATCAAGAAGGCAGCCCCGCGAAAGGGTACAGTACATGTAAGGACTTGATAGAGCTTGGGTTCTGAAATCCAGACTTCCAGGGCACCTTCACAATCCGTAGATCCACAGGCAACATTGGCAGCTGTGGCAGCGGCAGTACCTGGAGGGATGGGGGAAATGTGCACATGTCAAACGAATCGTCAACTCTTTACTAGTCTCAAACCAAAACTGACACTGACTTGCAGGCGCACCATCCGTGTGACCAAGGCACGGCCTGAATGCCGGGATCTCACAAGCTGCCCTAAGGCGTGGATAAACATGATTATTAAGACTGAGGAAGACCTAGTTCACTCTCAAGTGAAAAGAACAGGACACAATGATCAATGAGTTTGCTGAGCGAAGTGGGGTCTGGCGTGGTCGATGGTTTCATCCCTACCCTTCAGGAGGGTGGCTAGTGTGGCGCCGGATCTGCCACAAACCTCCGATGAACCTCCGATGCATGGCAGGGCATCGGGTGTCTTCGTTCTTTACTTGTGAGTCTCCAAACAGCCTCCCGACTCGCGCAGAAAGAGAATCACTTTCCCAGATGGTCCCGGGTAACTTCCTTCCCTCAGTGGAGAAACAAGCACGTTACCAGATGGTCCCGCTTCCATTCCTCCCCACCCCCTCCTCACCCCACCGTCCTTCCCGGGTTCTGAGGTGTCTTTTTCTTGTTTCTTGGCTTTTTCTACCCCACCGTCTCCATCAGTGACTCTTGTGTTTTCCGGAAGATTTCGGGTGCTTTTCTTTTCAGTGTCTGCCGAGATGTTCCTTCCGTTTTCCAGTATTTACTGCGGTCTTTTCCTAGGATTGTCTCGTGTCTTTCTAATCTTTGCTTATGTTTATGTAGGATTTGGTGATGATTCTTGCTTTTTGAAACAAGTGAAATCCTTTTTCAGGACTGCACACCCTGTGGCATGGTCAAACCGTGGTAGGGCAAAACGCCCGACAAACCCCTTTTAAATACAGTATTTGCACATCTTGAAGCGTCACCACAACACAGGGTGATTCGGCTGAAGGCAACCATACCAGCCATGGATCCAGCAAATGAGACAGTCTGAGTCATAGAGAGCTGACTTTCTGGAATACACCATGCAGTCTCCTCCAATGTCTCAATTGATCTGGGCGCTTTGAGGGCTCGACACTTGCCACATCCCCCAACCACTAACTCAAAGGTCAAAGTCTCATCATTATAGAGCCCGGTTGCCTCCAACTCTCTGCCATTTCTGTATGTACACAAGCCATTTCTGAGTATAAGGCCAGCAGGAAGCTCACAGTGAAGTGGTTGAAACAGCATCTGCAGCCATGACCTGCTGATTCACATTTCAGTGCCCACGTGGCCCTCATGACCCTCCATATTTTGCCAAAGAGCTGTGGTGACCCAGGGTACATATCTTATCACATCTTCCTTGGTTTTGCAAGTTCTCTATGGTGTCTTTGAAAATTGGACCCATGCCCAAATTAACTGCCAAAAAATCTACCATGTTCTACCTGCTAGTGCGTTTGGCATTTGCAAACAGTAGCCTCCTCTTTGCTTGATGCACATTCACAATCCGCAAACCGCATGCTCTATTTTTATGCTGCCTGCTCAGGAGTCAGTCTGTTGACAAACTGCAAGGGGAAATGAATAACGCTGGTCCCAAGCACCAGAGGTTGAGATGTTACATGAAGTTACCAATCATTTACAATCCAACTCACCACGCCAACCCATCGCACGAGTTCCTACAGACCGGCCACCCGCACCCGAGAGCACCCATCGCAGATCTCGAGCCACAGGGTAGGGCTGCCTCGCTGTGGCATCAGTGTTCGGGGACTCCAAGGCGAGTGGACATATCAAATCATTTCAAATCAAAATCTGAACTGAAGACAAGCACCGCAGCACGAGACGCCAATTCATAAGGCAGGGGCTCGAATCAGCTTCACGTTCACCAAGTTGGGACAAAATGATCCCGTTTTCCAAATCCTCACCCCTCCTGTCATGTTTTTTGGGTTGGCGCCTGATCCTGCAAAGGGTCTGCATGCCAATGGGCCTGTAGCTCCAAGCTGCCCCAAAAAAACACTGCGCAGTGAAGGCTTTATACAAGGTAGCAAAGATTCTGCGGGGTCCGTGAAACTTCATCGTTCGAACGTGTGAGGGAGAAGCAACTCACAATGAAATTCATCTCTGCCACTGCTGGAGACGCAGCTTTGGAGCTTCTAAGTCTAGATTTTAGATGCATCACCTGAGGCCCAGGCCCAAGCTGTTCGTCTGAGACGTTTTTTTTCTCTTGGGCCGAAGGAGCGCCACCAGGGCCTGGATGCTCACCGCCAGCTGTGAGGAACCAACTGGTGCTGTAGCACACTGCTTATCACATCTGAGGACGTCGCCCGTCGCCATATGGTTGTGCAAGTGGGGATATTGGAGCTTTACCCCCCACCCACTGATTCGGGAATATGGCAGGTCCACAGAAGGAAGGAGTGAAAGGTGGAAGAAGAGTTGATTCAATCAAGGCAGTGAGAACTTGCGAGAACACAATTGAAGACAAAACAGGCAGTTTGCAATAGACAATTCTGCTATTCTGGCTAAACCCCCTGTGCAAACTGCACCAAGGGTGATGGAACGTTCGTTTCACTCATTTTGCGTAATGAGTCGACTAGAGTTCGAAGTCCAGATCACGAAGGTCCTGAGTCAGACTAGCTACTAGCTGGGCAGCTGCATCTGCTCCAGCCCTCTTTGGGAGCCCTGGCCGTTTCTCGCAGCTGGTACAGGCAGACCTGGTGTCGACGTATGTTCTCGATTGGCTCAGGGGAGCATCCCAAAGCATCCCAACACCCACAAGACCTAATTGTTGCAACATGGTGACCTGATTGCAAGCATGTTCCTGCAACATACTCACACTACGTCCGCTAAATGTTATCCAGCTACCTCTCGTGTGAGATACCCTGCAAATCCAATCTCCTGTTTGTTGGATTTCCATCAGCATCGATCCAGCTTCGTCGGTTGCTCACATGAAATTCCCTGCTAGTAGATAAAAACTACAGTAGATAGTGGCAAGCCACGCGTTCATCAGACTTCAATCAGTTCTTTATCATGCTCAGGACCATGAGAATACAAATTGTGCCACGGGCTACAATCAAGTTCTTTCTCAGCTCATCATTGGCTTCTTCTCACCTTCGCAGGAAACTGCATCTCGATCACTGGCACTTGGTACCAGCCTGCTTCCTGGGCACATTTCACAGTGCATAAGCCAACGTCAAGACTCAAGACTGATGTCTGGTTCCTCGCAATCACACACATCAAACACTCTGTACTGAAACAAGTGACTATATATTGTCAGTGACACAGTACCGATCATAACAGTGTGCGGCTCGTAACACCTCATATGTGGTTTGATGCGGCTTGTCAGCCTAGCGCCAAGCCTTCAGCGCCCGGCCTGATCTTGCCAAGATACAGCCTTGGAGCGCTTGGAATCTGCTTCAACCCGGCAGGTCCAGCATGTAAATTCAATCATGATCATCACCAGCAGCAGCACGAGGAGCAGCAGCAGCAGCAGCAGCAGCAGCAGCAGCAGGAACTGCAGGAACGACAACAGCAACAGCAGCAGCACCGACACCGGCACCTTGCAGCTTTTTAAACTGCTTTGCACAACATCGAAGGAAGAACTCGGACGGCAAAGTGCCCAAAGAGCCCACTGCGCCCTCAGGATGTTCCACTATGAAACTGCAACACAGAGTGGGCCTCCACACTGTTTCGCTGCAATTCAGCACATCCGTGGCATCGAAGGTCTACAGCACTTGGCGAAAAGGATACATGCCTACATGCCCATAATCTCGGAGTATGAACACGCACACACACAAAATATTATCAAATATTGTCTGCCAAGGGCTTTGGATCTTCGGGTTCTGTACGGCAATCCTTTTGAAGTTGCAGTTCGTTGTGTATTTCCAACGTTGACCACCCACCTTGCCTCACCACGTGAGGTACGCTCAGGGTGGCGTTGGATTGCTTGCGGCTCCTTTGCAAAGCGGGCCGGCTGTGGTTTCCGCACTTGTCCATCGAGTAGCTATACTCTATGGAACAGTCCAACAACATCAAAACACTACTTGCTAGGTTGGTAGGGTTATGAGCTGCAAAAGGTTAGCAATGACGCAATGCAGATTAAGCTCACTTCCTTTTCAGCTGTCCTCCATGAGCAGGAAGCTAAAAATCCCTGGCTCCGGGGCTGACCAACACAAGTCGGGCGAAAACTTAATTATCAAATATTCTCAAAAGGGCTGTTCTTGAAGCTCACTTCTTGTTACCCGTGTCCTGACCCTGCCTGACACCCAAACTTCGCCTCCCAAAATCCAATGCAAACCATATCATGTGCAGCATGACCTTCTGCTTGAATTACTAATCATTCAAGTTTCAGTTGATTTGTTCAAACCACAACAGAAAACATCTGAGCATTCTTAAAAAGAATGCAACGAACTATGTTGAAGTGCATGCAGTGCAACAAGTTCTTCCTTTATGCCAACCTGATTCAACCATTGTCAAACATTTTGACGATGTCTTCGTTGTCGAAGCTGACGACATTTCAACGCAAACCACCTACCGGCTACCGTTGAACTCTTGGACTCTCCCCCTTTAGACCGTTCTTTGGCCTCCAGTCATTGGACGAAACAGCTGCACTTTGGCCAGCCTTGTGACGGCAACAAACACGTGCGACAGTGCGAGCTGGAGATACCTATAGAGATCACGGGGCTTGTGTGACCTTTCACGTACTTAACTTTGGCGTTAGTTGGCCTGCAAACTTTGACCGCCACGATGATCAATGATCCGTGGAGAATCATACTTCCAGCAGCTTGACTGAAAGGCACACGTTTGGTACAACAACCACACCTCCTGGAAAAGGTAGTTGCTACATAAAAGTATTTGATGCCGCCCCTGAATGTCCAAGGTGTCATCACATTGAGGGCATCATGTTCAATTGCTGTCCGAAGATCGGAGTAATCAAAATTATTGGAGGCATTCAATCTCGGTATGGCATCAGTCCGAGCAAACATCAAGAGTTGCACATCAGCAAGCGACCCTTAGTCTCTTGACTTTGTCACAGAAACAATGCATCTGTCATTACCGTTGACAATCTCCACAATCACTTGCGTGCATCAAATAACCATGACATAGCAGGATCGCTCCGACCCTTTTTCAACCCACCAATCCCACCAATCGCCTGTCAAAGGGCACCGCCGCCTCAGTGTGGAGGCACCAAACATAGACGCAAACTTGTCTCAATCCGAGCGTAACCAGGACCTTTTGACTTAGAAGGAGCTAAAGACATGAGCCAGCTGTGCTAAAACCTGTCTGGCCATCTTGCCGGATTGTCTAAAAGACTCCGCTGGAAACTGAGGAGAAGCACCCCAGGCTCAACAAAGCTGGCATTCTCCTGGCGCCAAACAACCTCCAAACACCCGCTTGCATCCCACCATAGGTCTTAGTAGAGACATGTTGAGACCGCTGGTTGGCCAAAACTAGCTCCCTCACCAAGATTTCACAAATGCTGCATGCAAATGTGTTGCGTACCAATACCATGAGTCCGAGCCTCCAGCCATGCACATGTTCAATGTGAACATCACGGATTCTTAAGTTAATGATTCTTAGTTTGGTATAGTTTGGTGAAATCTGTCTTGCAATCAATCCTAATGCCTGATGCCCACGCCACATCACCGGATCTCCAATTCTGGCTCCAGTTTGTTCTCATATATCTCATATAACTTCAGAACTGGAATCTGACTAGTCTGAGGCACCTTACATTTACAGTGTACCTATTTCAATACTAGCACACGCCATACAAGTCAAACGTTCTTCCAGCAGTGGTATGTGAAATCTGATCACAGGCAAAAGCTGAACAAGCATATGGGGGTGTGACATGTGAAAACCCAGTTCTGACGTGTTGAATCTCCAATCCGCTCCTGCGCAGGAGCGCTCACTCGGGTTGCTGCTGTGGGGCGGCCCAGGAGATTGGACCTGCGGATCAAACCGAAGCCAGGCTGCTTGCACATCTATCTACATATATAACAAACATCCTGGATGTTCCACAACCAACTTGTAAGATTCTCAATTCCCAGGTATGCACTGTACATACTTTTACATTGATGGATGGAACGGAGATGAATCATCATTGGTGCCTTGCATTCGGCATAGGGAAAATCTGCGTTCTATAGCCGTTTGGATCAGCATGGTTCTAATATAATGCTTCAGGAATCTTACCATCAATCATCAAGATCGACCTCCGTTGCCCTGCCCCCAAACAATATCTACAGGTTCATTATCAGGCTGTTGGTCTCCCGGCCAGGGTCCCTCAGATGGTCCAGTGCGGAGGATCCGGGACAAGAAATGAAGGCCTCAGGTATGCGGCGAAACAAATGCTTCTTGTTTGAGGAAGCAAAAGCATCCTTCCGCTTCGCGTCCCAGAAATGCAAACAACTTGCCAAAACCTGAACATCTCAAGGTGATCTTGGCTTGATCTTCCGTGTCCCATCAATAGCCAGCGAATTCTGCAGAATGTCAGGTTCATGGATCGTCCTCAACCTTGAAGGATTGAACATAAAATCTGCCAAGAATTGGTCCTCCAACAACTTGAACTTGTGAACACCAAAAATAGATTATATAAACATGCGAAAGATGGGTGTGGGAACCCCTGAGAAGCTCAAGCAAAAAAGCCAAGATGTACCGCACCGGCAGGTTGTCAGGAGTCTGCTCTGGTTGATTCTTCAATGCAGCAGCGCAAGTTGCGATGCCTTGCTAACTATATAGGCCTTCCTTCCCAACACTGGACAAACTATAGCAAGCGGCCTTTAGAACTTTACGTACTGTAGAAGTCCATTGGATCACCCCTGTCTCAACGGGCTCCAAGCCACTATGACCATGACAACCATGTTCAAACCCAGAGTCACAACGACCGGTAAACAAGGTCATGTTGCTTGATTCGACACTGTGCGAGATAAGCTGAGGGACTGTGTCGCGAGAAGAGGAGGTTCACGTGGCTGAAGGATGAGTAGACATCCCCTGGGCAGGTTGATCGAAACAAATCATGTCAATGGTGAGAAAGCGATGGTGTGCAACTGCGGCATCCCAAATAGTTCTTGCAGTTTTTGCGTATGAAATCCGCCTTGTCCGTCTGTGATCGTTGGGTCCTGTCCTCACATGGCTAAGCTAGTGGCTGCTCAAAGAGCTCCCTTCATATCTCTAAAGAATAATCCACGCACAGCTGCTTGGCTTCAACCCAAACCAGAAAGCAATATGCAGAAAACAGTATCAGTATGTCAGTATGTACCAACATATTGTCTTGTCGGCTCATACGGCGGTTCCACGTCGTTGAGATTTATGAACCTGAAACGGCAGCGGCCTCTTCTGACCTGTTCTGGTGAATGGGGTACATCCAAGTTACACCTACTCTGCATGGCTCTGTTAAACGTCCAGAAACAATGTTTTGACCTGGACACCAAATCTCATTATATACTCGATTCAAAACTTCAACGTTTCCAGTGCCAGCATCTTAGTCAAGAGAATCCCCGTCGGCAGAAAAGGGGACTAGAGCGCGCCCACATGTTCATGTGACTCCTCGTCGAACGGATTACTAGTATCGTCCTTTGCTCCTAGTAGCGATGCCAGGAGCCCCTAGTAGCTTCTTGTTTACTGGCATCTGTGCCATCTCTTCAAGATCCTTCCATTCCCCTACCAATCACCTGAGTTCGATCAAGTCACGCGCCGCTGGCAGTGGAATGAAGTGCGCATTCCTGGAGCTAGCCGAGCAACCAATGTGTGCTTTTGCTTCTCCAATCTAACATCGCAAAACACAAAGTTGTTTTGAAAAAATGATGGTGCTCTTGCTGTACTCTTGCAGGGGCTGTATTCACTACAAAGCGACAATAAGTTCCAAGTCGTTCTCAATTCTCGCAAGCAGTGCGTCGGCTTTGGAGAAGAACCGCGTAAAGAAAAAATCCCACAAGTGACTACGCACGCCACTTTGCACGTCAAAGCCACCGAGGCGGAGGCTGGCCTTCCCATCTCACTCCCTTGTCGGCCCCGCCGTCCTCAACCTGGTGGTCTTCATGGGCACCAAGGGATCCGTCGCACCGCCTCGATCGAGCTGATCCAGTTATCAAAGGGCTCCAACTGCGGGCTGGGACCAATTCCAAAGGATCGAAAGGCCAAACCTTCAAGCAAACAGTCCAAGAGGCTGGTTCGGCTCCAAATCTGTATTATAGTCTAGTTATAGCTCACGCCAGCGAAAACGACCTTGCGGTTTTAGCGTTTTTTTTGCTTATAGTAACACAATTCTCCCCAGTGGCCCTCCGGAGGTGCGATGGGCTGGCGGGAAATAGCGCTCGGTATCCAATGTATTAAATGAAGAAAGTGTATAAGTGTGACGTTGACGTTGAAAGATTTCATTTTCATCTTACAATCCCACTGTAAACGGGACAAAAACGACACAATCTATTGTAAAGCACCGTACTTTGTCGTGCTTTAAACTGCCAGATAGCCGAAATGCTGTAAGGCATTCGCACATTATCGCATCTTGGAGGGAGGTGCGCGTTTCGCGCGGGGTCGTTGGGGCGACGTGACTTAGTTGTAGTATGTTATAGTTATATACTGAAATCGTGCTTCGAACAATGAAGATAAATACAGGGGGGATCTGAGTACTTGACTATTGAAACCTAAATACCGCGAACATTTCACCCATGCAAGCCCATCCCAATATGCCTGACACTGAGACGATGGAGCATGAGAGGTTAGAGGCCTTGGCGAAGGGTGGTTCAGTGTCTCTGTCTCATCTTCAGCCCTTGGTCACCTTTCTCTGTTTGCAATTGACGAAGCCTTGTGAGCCTGATGCCCTTAGGAGCAAGGACGCTACTAATAGGGGCTCCTGGCATCGCTACTAGGAGCAAGGACGCTACTAGGGGAGCATCGCTACTAGGAGCAAGGACGCTACTAGGGGTTTTGATTTCACTACAGAACCTTGGTCGCATGGACTCTGTGGTGCCATTCTCATTGCTGGACAAATTCCAAATGGGAAGTTACTCTTAGAAACCCTGCAACCACTTATTCACACTTTTTTCCCATGCACCAGGCTTTTTTCTTTGTCTATCCCCGAGCTGCCTCGATCGCAAAACGCGGATCCAGCAGCAAAGGATGTGACTCCTCAGCGGAGCAGAGAGTTGCGGATAGAGTTCTGTAAGGGCTAAAAGCATTCTTTTTTGTTCTGGTCTCTAACTCTAACAGCCGAAGAGATGCCGCAGGGTAGAATCAAAGCAAACACAGGCAGCTCCATTTCGGCTACATCCGTCTCTCGACCGTCTACTTATCTGCTGGTCTGCAAGTCCGTCCAACTGTAGAAAAAAGAAAGCAATTTGTGGGTGCTTCTCATTCTACCCAAAATGACAAACCCAATCTGCCTTTCCAACAGCAAGTTGTTCAGAGTTTCACACTAAGCCCGCCAAGATCGTGTATATATATATATATATGTATAGTTGTCAGCTTGTTGTCGTATGCTGATCTGTAAAATTTGCCAGCATCACAGGAATCAGCATGAATCAGCTATGTGCACTTCCAAGAACTCTCTCATGAATCATTGAATATCCCAAACAACTGAGGCTTCCAAGGAAGAAGCCTGAGCCCTTCTGCGTCCAATATACTAAGAATTGCTAAGATATATGTCCCTGAAGAGCCTACTCACCCCTGCCTTAAAAAAGAAACAGCATACAAAAAGCAAGAACAAGTTAAGAAAAGCCACGAAAACGGTCTCACGGTCAGTCGCAGCCGAGAGTCCAAAGGAGTCGAGATCAAGAAGAGGCCATCCACTGGCCTGGTCCCGCATCTGCGCTACTGGTCGCTCTATTGGTGGACCATGGGTATTTTTAGACGCATGTGGAGCCTAATTACTATGGTTGATCTCACTGGAACGACAGCTCTGAAGATACTGTTGATCAACCTCCCTATATACTAGTGACCGACTGCGAGTTTGAACATCCCTTCCCTTTGTGATCGCTACAAGTACCAAGAACCTCAAGCAGAACATGTGTTGCACATCTAGCAGCCTGGTGTGCTTTCGTGAATATGGTGGCCCACTCCAAACCACTGCCCCCCTATGTGCCCTCAGTTTTTGCTAGGTGGAACATAGATGAACGTATGCATGTCCTTCAAACTTTGACGTTTACACATGTTTACACTACAATAGAACTCCTTCTTGGCCTCCGTTTTTGACTTGGAGGTTCTGTGCATGCTCTCACAACAAGGGCTCCCCTGTCCAACACTGGAGGCAGGAACTGGCAAACACCATTATATAACTTTAAGTTGGTGTGCATGAACATTCTTGGTCCTCCCCCATTTGTGTGTTTGGGCTCTCAGGAGCCAGCCGCTCAACTTGTGACAATCTCCGCAAAGCTTCCACAGCCACTAGGCCGCCCATGGAATGGCCGAGCACCAGCTTGGGGCCTCCCAAACAGATCCCACATCAAAAAGGATCCAGGACAATCAAAGCTTGGCCTAGCGGCATAGCAATGTCTGAACATCTGAACAACTTTGTCACCACGCATTGACCTTCCAGGACGAGTGACACATGATTTCATATGATTTCACGCGTCTGTCAGTGCATGGTGTCGTGTCGAAGACGCGTGTCTACCCCGAGGTCCCACGTGTTCTGCCCACACAGCACAGTGTGGCCATCGTTGGCCTGTGTGCAGTTGCCCAAGCCGTTGAATCGCCTTGGATCACAAGGCGGTGGACCCCGCCCCCGACAAGCCGGTTTTCAATGTCTTTTCGTTCCAGGTGCTGGACCGCCTAAAAGTATCATTGACATTCTTTGGAGGACACATCACTGGCAGAAACCGTCAATACCCTTCTTATGCATCTGGATATGACTGATTATGGCTGCACATGGGTAAATCTCACTCAACTTCAACATCTGATAGCTGACAAAGAACCTTGTTACAGATCGCTAGGTCCTCTCCTGTTCAGGCACACATGCATGTTCATGTCTTGTTCTCTGTGCGCCCCGAACAGCTTTGGTGAAGGCTGCTTGAGCTGACAACACAGACCAATGAAGGGCTGAGGCAGACCTCATTGACGGCAGCCAAATTCCACAGCTTGAAACTTATGAAGATACCTTCGTCTGTAGAATCAAGGAATACTGCAACTGGATTGCTTGATTGCTGCCAAACAATTTGCCCGAAGATTGAATTAAAACAGAAACACACAATCATTGACTCAGCTGCATCAGGATCAATGGCAGCAAACAAACATCTCTCAGAGCTTGGCGCATGGAAATCCAGCGTGTAAAAGTGGACAGGATCCTCTTTGGCCAAGTATGCGCATAGGTTGATGCCCTGCTTCCACGACCTCACGCTTCATGCTTCTCGCAGACAGGTGCCGGCTAGTTTGTGAGAGAATGTTGCGAGCAACCAAATTCTGGCCGCGGAATGCTGAGCTCAGCGTGACTGGCTGCAACATCTCTCTATATATATATATGCCTAAAATTGATGGCCACAAGCAGAAGTCCGACAAGGCCAGCGCAACAAATACCGTCTTTGAAACAACGTTGCAAATCAGTTGTCACAACTGATTACAGCCAACGGCAACTGATTGTGGCTGTGGATTCCCAAACATAGTCACTGTCCACACACGAAAAGGTGACTGCGCGCATTTGGAATCTTGACCCAAATGGACTGAAAAACGAACGTTTTAAAACTACAAGTAGTATCCCAATACCAAACCATAGTACTTCCAACCGTTGGCTTTCATGTCAATGTAGACAACAGGCGCTCGTATACAATGCTGTATGGTTTCACGTTGTGCATGCCCTTTTGCGAAAAGTAGCAGCCTTCGTACCTACAGAACAAAATTGCTCGAAATGTATGTATCATTATGTATCTGTATGTGTGTAGTGTAGTGACTTGTAGTCCTTGGACGGCACGGTTTGCAAGTGGTCAATGGTCTAGTGAGGATCTAGTGCACTCCTCCGCCGGTCGTTGCGGTCCGCCGACTTGGCTTGCTGGCTTTGAACAGCTTCTCTTGGGCCTGTGTGCCCGTGTGTCTTGCGCAAGAAAATGTGAGCGGTGTCTGCAGGTGATCTCTGTACAAATCAGTGAACAGTCGAGCCGTGAAATGCCACGTGCTCATGCTCCCCATGTAGGCACGCGATCTGCAGCAGCCACTTAGCGGCGACTAGAGCCAGACTGAGCGCAATGTTCCTTACCTGATACAAGAGTCACGTTTCTTTTTTGCCTCAAATCTTTCTGGACACCTGATCTTGATCTGGTGAAGCCTGGTGGAAAGCATCACGATATATCACGATCAAACATTGCAACGATTCAGCCACATAACAATATAGGGTTCTTCTCTGGAAAGATTAGTAGACTTGGTTGTCAGGAAGAGATTCATGGAAAACGGTTTCATTTCACACTTGGCCTTTGTGGTCAATGTCGAGTTTGGGATCCCTGCCCACCATGCCCCGGCACGAAGAGGATCACCGGGGCGGTCTTCGTGGGCTTGGCTTCGCCGAGAGCATAGAGACCAAAATGCGTTGGCTCCTGATGAGGGAACATCGTTGATGAACGTTTCAAGTGCACTGCTCAGTGCACCCACGCCCAGCTATATATACTGTATATAGCTAATATAGCCGCGACTAAAGTAGTGAAACACGACTGCGACGAGGAGGCAACATCAAACAAGTCAAGCACCGTGAAAACAAGGAGGAAAGACATTGATGCAGAAGATGCAGCGTGGTCTGTTTTTTTTAAAGAACACATCGGGGCATGATGGAGACAGAATCTGAGTTGTGCTGTGCAAACTGCTGACGAGAAACTGCTCACATCAAAACTTGCCCTGCAGTTCCATCGGAAAAAGGAATTTGAGTCGAGGTTGCAGTCTGCACTGTGCAGTGGCTGTGTGAGATTCGCAAAAGAGTTCACAATTGGGGGAAGTGGCACTTTGGCCTGGAGTGCTGGTGTAGGGTTGACCCTCTGTCAAAGCAGTTCATGGTTGCAGTCAGCAGTGGGGTAGCCGCATCAGGAACAAATTGAAGCAACGTCACGATAAGCAAACAATGACACGTGGAGCAAAGAACAGCATAGACAAGCAAAGCAAAGTGCGGCAAAATGCAAATGAAGGGAGGGAGAAATCCAGAGCAACGAACAAGTTGATAACAATAGAGGAAAGCAAACAAAGCGACGTAGAGACAAGCAAATACAAGCACAAAAAAAATTAGCAAGAGAAGAAGCAGCAGCAGCAGCAGCTGCAGGAGCAACCACAACCACAACCACAACCACAGCAAAAACCAAGAAACTGGATTAAGAACAAACACCGACCATCCTATCACAGGATCGAACCTCAGTTCCACGCCTTGGTTGTGCTGAACCTTAGAACACCCAACACCGCCTTATCTTCAGACCCAATCAGCACAGTTTTTTCCTGCATGCTCGCCACCAACTGGCGGGGTGGAAGGTTTTTCCTGCAAAGGATGGCAGGGAGGCCCAAATAGCTGGGAGAGCTCAGAGCTCCAAGGCTTTGGCCTGACTGAGTAAAGCTGTCATTCAAATTCATCCCTCTCCAAATTCTTGCGAAACTGAGAAAGCCTTTACAACATGGGAGAGCAAACGTTCGACAAAGAACTACACCACAACACACCAACAAACAGTGAACCCCAGTCCAGTCCTGGGATGGCATAGTGATGACGTGAAAGTTGGCGCTGTTGCGGATGAGGTTCCAAGTCCGGTCGTCATGGTATGGTCCGAAGGCGCAAAAAGCACCTGCAACAAAAACCACCAGCACCAAATGCCACCAATATACAGGCAATACTGCATATCCTACGGAGTAGAGTGCGGTGTCAACAGTTGATCATAGTCTCGCCATGATTTCCTTTTATGTGTATACATATATATGTATATATATATATATTTGGGCTGAGAAAAAAAACAACGGGCCGAAATGATAACCATCGGAGGAAAACACAATGATATACACATATACGTAAGTTGTTCCTGTGTCTCACAACTTTTCTGAAGCGTGGTGGGTTCACCAAAAGAAGCTTGACAGTTTTGTATTGAATGAGTCTTGAGGGCGACCACAGGACCATAATGATATAATTCACGTGATATAACATATCCGAGAATGTCTCAACACCCTTCAGAGACACCACCCAGAAGTTTTGATCCACTAATCGGGTGTAACGCCTCCATGTGGGTTGCGGTGTTCCGCCCCAATGTGAGACTTCACCGTCCATATGAACCGAAGCTTTCTTCCCAACGGCTTGAACTGTTTTCGTTTGGGGTGTGGACGCCTATTCTCCACCGTTTTTTCACCGCCTCACCCTGGGCAAAACCATTCCCGCCTAGTCCTGCGAAAAGAAAACTGATAAGTTCCACAAGCCACATGGCACAAGCTCAGGCAAGCTCAAGTCCACATAAAGAACATCACTGCTCACACTTGGAAAGTACCTAAACTTTAGGCGCAAACCATGTGACACATGTTCCCACAGTTGTTCCCCAACATCGAGGGACCAATCCGGCTAGTAAGATCCTCCTAAGAGTTTGTCACGTGATATTGTAAAATCTTGTGTGTTCTCTTTCTTTGAAACCTTTAATCTTACCATGAACAAACAGTCTCTTCCACGTACTTACATCATTCAGCAGGATCTGGTAACATGCAGTGACAAGGTCTTGTCCACAAGTCAGTACAGTACAGGACATGCGGTGGGGAAATGCTCTTTCTATGAGATTTGGGATTTCTGCGATTGAAGACCCCATCAAATTCTCATCTCCGCCTGTCTCCCCAGTCTGCCTATGTCTACCTCGATGCTTCGAGCAAAATAACATGCTTTGCGATACTGTGGCGTGGGAACAAACACAACGGAGAAGTCAAACCCTCAAGTCGAACAGCACCTTCTTGGCATGTGCCTTTGGAATCGATTTGCCTCACACCTTTACATATGCCTTCCCATGACCACGATCAGAGCCACCAACCCCTGCGGTGTTGCTCGCACCTGGCTCCGGCCTGAGCAAGATCGGCTCCATGATGTTGCCAACTTGCACTCTACAACTATAACACACTGTACTATAACCATACAGTAATTCTCGTGATGATTGTCCTCCAAAGTATGACTCAAACCACTGCCAACGAAGCTGAAACTGAAAGCTTTGCATCTGGCCTAGAAGCTCATGGGAAGAAACATACCCGCAGGCTTTAGAATCAGTGTTATTGTGAATCAAGAGTGCAGGGCATCGTTTGGAAGGATACCTGTCATCTCTGCTCAAGGGTGGTGCCATCTACCCCGTACACTTCCCAATGAACCGCGACCTTTCCTTCCACTGATAAGTTCAATCTTGGCCCAAATAGTTAGTCTAAGAATGTCTAAGATCCACGAATGAATGTGTCATCTCTCTGATGCAACTTGAAGGTCTGCTGGATTCCGTTCCTGAGCATCCTCTGTTCAACTGCATGGTCGGTAATGCAGCCACTCATTGCAGTCCGTCTAAAGCCAACACGTAACAGGGAGCCCACGAAATGTTCAAGTGCAGTTGAACCCTTTGGTGCCGAAACAGGGCGGCCCTGCCTCGGCTCGACAGCAAATCCTGCACGAGCTGGTGGCGACTTTGGAGGGAGGTCATGACAGGCCCTGGAGGACACACATTGAGCACTGAGGCAATCTCTTGAGTTCTGAAATAGAAGTCATCGAACAAAGCAGCTAAGGTGTCTTTGTGCGAATGCACCTCCGCCAGAAGAGGTGTACCTCGACAGGATTGTTCTATTGAGAGAAGTCCGTCCGCAAAGAAGTGGGTGAAAGTGTGTTGATTTGTATGCAATTCTGGCAATTCTCATCAAAATGGTGTTGGTAACTTACCAACTAGAGCCGCAGGGGTCAACCAGCATGGGGGGGTTCAGGACCATACACTCTCTTCCAATTGCTCTTCAAGCAAGCATGAAGCGACAACGAGCACTGTGGTGCCATGCTGGAAAATGGCCACTGAGGGCCCCGGCATGGGAGCACCCAAGTGCATCTCAGGGCTGGTAGGAACAACCGGGTAGTGACCTCGACATCAGATGGGCCAATACCATGTCTGTAGTGAGTGATGTGTTTTCTGCACCAGGCCCAATTCTGCACCAGGCCACGGCCATAGTTCTCCATCTGACTGCCGACATGGAAGCTGTCCTGTGCTTTGTGCGAGTAGCGGGTGACCAGCTTGGCAGCGGAAGTGGATCTGAGACTTGGAGTTGCAACTTGTCGGAGCTGAACTAGGCCCACTATATATATATATATATAGAAATGATGGAAATGGGGAGCAAGCTGAAATGCCCAGCGGTTTTCCAGAAAAACTGGTTCTGCAAAAACGGATCGCGAAACTGGAGACACTCCGAAATGGAATGGCCGTGGTCTATTTATTTCCCCACAAAGCTGCTGATTCTTGAGATCTTAGAAAGGCTCCTGGTTGGAACCTGCCAAATAGCCTTTGTTTTCAAGAGAAGCAGAAATGCCAAGGACTAGTCAAGCAGGTCTTTTTTGTGAGGACACTTCATCAAGGATCCTTGGATGCTTTCCAGTCAAATCTCCAAGCTCTTTAACGAGCTGTGCACCACATGAGTCCCCTTGAACAGTTATTACAGCTCCAAAATGCGTACCCTCCAACTTCCCACCGTCCTGGGCTGTGAAGTCAGAGCTGGGTGAAGGGTCCCAGGACGGCGACATGTCCGACCATGGAGATCCTGCGTCTGCTGGTGCTGGGTGAACAACTCCGAAAGCGACCAAGATCAAAGTGAACACGTCCTTGCTAAGTCCTTGCTACTAGTAGCTTTTTGTTCCTAGTAGTAAGGCCAGGAGCTACTAGTAGCGTCCTTGCTCCTAGTAGCGATGCCCTTGTTACTGCAAGGTTTGCACTTCTTTGATATCTCTTAGACTTCACCTAGCTTCATTCGAAAACACGTCCAAAAATATTCCAAGCATGTGCGTGTGTGGATCTGTCGGCCTCCATCCCAGGCCTGGCTGTCAGCACTGTGAGACCAAAGGCAGTCCACTTGGAATAGAAGACTCAAAAACCAGGGGGTCAAGCCCCAGCTATGAAGTTCGTGATGGGTATGAGTGGAGGGTAGACACAATTGAACCATGTAACCGCAGTTGAGCATCCAGAAACAAACAGAATAGCCATACTATTCACAGATTCGATGATGCGAGCACCCCCATGTCATGCCATGTCTGATGTGTGCCTCTCGCCGGCCTCATCTTTCTTTTTCTTCTTGCGACTCTTCTTCTCCTGAGAAAGGGCGGAGGATAGGCCTCCAACGGAAACAAGACAGAAGAATTGCATCTGATGAATGCCATTATACTAATAGTACGCAAAATAATTCCAAGATTAAGCTGTCAAGTCCACGCTATTGTCTTGGCATATTGTTTCAATCGTGGAGACAGGAGAACCAATTTCAACCTGTGCGTTGAGGCTGGAAAGGATAAGCCTCAACAACATGCTCTTCTGCATCCATCCATGTCAACAGGTGGGTTAAAACAAGTCAAGTCGTCACATCATGGGGAACCAGGGGGAACCAATCATTTCGATGGGTGACCACTGTTCCGATGAGCGGGGCTACACTTTTCTCTGACATACAACCTTTGTGTTCTGTAAAGAGGGGCAGTACTTGACAAAAGCCTTTGTCTCTGATCTCCGATCTCCTCATGAAGTGGGAACTATAGGCTTTGGCAACACCAGCGGGCTACGAGTGCGTTTCGGGCATCGCTTGGTCCTTCGAACTCGTCATGGCCCAAGTCTCCAGCTCTGCGAAGGAGCTCTCGAGTTCTGATTCGCGCAAAGGCACAGACTAGTCAAACCCTGAGGAGCTTCCAAGTATGCAAGTGTGATTTTTCCAACCTCGAAAGTGTTATTTTCTTAGAAACCAAATACTCACAGACCACCAGGGAAGCACAAGCAAGAACATCAGGACACTCTCAGAGATCTCTACCTTTGCGGGGTAATCTACCTCACTGCATCATACTACTACATCCCTGACATCCCGTTGATGCTCTCTGAATCTGGTACTGTAGGTGTCAGAGTGTTTCCATTTGGCATAAATGATTGCTTGGGCCGCATAGGGGTGTGATGTTCTGCCTCCTGTTGTGTAATCCCCCCAAAGAAGTTCCTTAACAGCCGTCGGCTTGGAAGACATGAATGACAAACACGACAAAATCTTAGTGTAGTGACTGCCACCACGCCAGTAGGGTCAGCAGTAGGGTCAGCAGTAACCGCAGCCTTGAGATTTCTTCTCTTTCTTCTCTTTCCTGCTTCTCTTTACCTCCTGAAGGCCATACATGGGCATGGGAGGGATCATGTGTCGGACAGCAACGTCGTGCACAAGCTGCCCGCTTGCAGCTGTTTCACTGAAGTAACAGCAACCAACAAGCCATAGGCTCCCCAAGCAAGACACAGCTCATTAATGTTCATCTCACGTATTCATCTTTGCCAGGTAAACGCGGGTAGCGATTTCCACAGGCGGCACCCTATGAGTGCCTTGACCGCTGGAGCAGGTGTGACCTCTCTGTCCTCAGCTTGGGCTGGCGAAGGTCCACACACATCTTCGAACAAGAACGACTCTGATTGCTGGACATTCCCGTCACTCACTAGGATCTGACGGTGTACGAAGGGCTCCTCACATTTTACGTAATTTTGCCTTTTCAAGCCATGATAAGACATGCAGAGTAAAATCAGTAAAATCAAATGGATGTCACATTGACATGGTACGCATCCAAACGTGTGAGTCATTGCAGACGGCCACACAAAACACCTTGCACAGCAGTGTGCTCTCATGCTTCTAGTATCAGTCTCAGTGGTCAGGGAAGGACCTGGAAAGCCAAAGTCCCACATTCAGTGCCTGAGGCCCTAACCAAATCCTTCTTCTCCTTCTTGCTAACCTTTTCCTTCTTCTCTTTCCCATCCTTTTTTGAAGGGCTTTTGTCGCCTTTGTCAGTCTTTTCCTTCTTCTCTTTGTCTTTCTTCGAAGCACTCTTTTCCTCAACTGGCTTCTCCTGGGGAGTAGAACTGCCACAGAATCTGACCTTGCTCATTGCACGTATCAAATCTGTCCTTATTACATACTGTTATAGCATTTTATAGCAACTATATTTTCTTGTGGCCTTTCCTAGCCTGCTTTTGCAAATGTTTTGCTGAAAAATATTGAAAGATTCTAACACAACTTTGGTGTGCAAAGAGATTTACTGAACTGTTGTGCCCTCTCAGACTGGTGAAATATATATATATAGTATATTTAATATACCTTAGACTTGCTCAGCCACAAGATACTACTACAAGAGTCGCAGCTCTGCCGTCACCCAACAGCAACTTTCATCAGCTTGTTCATCGGTTGGAAGTTCGAAGAGCACTGCGGTTTCAACCCT